CGCGGTCAGTTTATTCAAACAGCCCCATTGCGCGGGCCTGTGCTTTTGAACCAGACTACCCATTAGTGTTGTGAAATCCACTTGGTGGGTAATACTCCGCTTTTTCTTTATTTCCAGTTTAATATGTATCCCTCAATGGAGGTTCTTGGCTAAAAATTTGAAAGGCACTCCCTTAAATGACTTTTTTGGCCCTTTGCAGACCTGCAAAAAGACTTTACATTCCCCCGAAGCTGAAACTAGGCAATTTTGGGTAATTGTCTGGTGGACTTTAGCAAAAATTCAGGCTGTGATTTGTCTCAGTTTGGGAATAATACCCCCCCTCCTGGATGTCTACATATGTATTGTAGCTACATGTATACATTATTTCTGTAACAGTTTTTTTATTATGGAAGTGATACATGCCCTTCAAAACAACAAAAACACTAAGACATTGAAAGAAGGCCCGGAAAATGACAAATGCTACCCTTCCACACGACGCATATTCCTAGAGACAATCCCTTTCAGTTTTTTGGATTCACATGCTGCCGCTTGTCCACATAACAGCTGAAAAGAGCAGGACACACGAATCACTGGGGCTTGTTCATTAAGCAGCTACGACAGAAGGTCTGGACAAGCAGGCTGAGAAGATGAGATTTCTAGATAGAACTAAGGAACGTTCCAGCACATTGCGCTTCCTGTTAACCCTTAGGTCCAGCGGGCTTCAGCCGCTACCCAGGGTGTGTAGCAGGACGGCGTTGAAGAGCAGTTCTTGTGTGCCGTCAGATTAACCCCATCCTCTCTGGGAACAATTTCTTGCCCAACTGGCACAAAAGTGGACTTATACATGAAAGCCCACTGGGCAGCGCTCATTCATAGACGAGAGTGTCTCAGACAACGCCGTGGACTGAGTGGTACCTGTAATGAGGTGCGCAGGCTGTAGCTGGGTTCATGTATGTGTCCCTGAGGGAGGGGCCAGAAGGCAGAAAGAATGTCACAGCAGCATGCAATTTGCCACAACAGAAACAGTTTATTTCCATGGAGCTGAAAAAGTAGACTGCCCGACAGGAAAGGGGAGTTAGGGTGAACTGGAAAGTACAGGAGGCAGGAAGTCAGGAGACTTGATTGCTCACCCGGCTGATTCCGGGAACTTCCTCTGCCCATTCGTGCCCGGGCTGGTTTCCTCATGGGCACACTCGGGGTGGGATGGAGTTCTCCCAGCGCGAAGACTGTGATTCTAGGAAAGCCAGGCACCTTCCCCGGGACCCTGCTTCCTGCATCCGTGGCCTCTGAGCGGGTGGGACTTGCTGTGGGGAAGGCCACTACCTTAGACACCAGAAAGTGACCGTCGGGGGCGGGTGCTGTTCTCTTCCAGCTCAGAAATACGTGCCCAGGGCTGCCCTGGTGGACTTGGAACCCGGCACGATGGACAGTGTGCGGTCCGGGCCTTTTGGGCAGCTCTTCCGGCCTGACAACTTCATCTTCGGTAGGTTCCATCTTTCCTGCTTTCTTCTTTTTTAAATATCAGAGTTAAGTTATGTGCAAGATTAAAAACATCACACGGCACAGAAAACCTTCAACGGAAATCAACAGTCCCCAGCCTGATCGCAAGCACCTATTGTAATCCTTGACTTTTTTTTAGGAAAGTAGCCTTTATCTCTAAATGAAATGCTTACACTGATAGTTCTTTATTAAAAAAAAAAAAATTTAGGCATTAACGTTTTTCCCCCTTCATAAATTATTATAATATAATAATAACTTGGTTTTGGTTCCTATACGGCTCATCTTTTAACTTCAGTACATTTACACCTGTATTTCTTTTCCACTATCTATAGACAGTTCTGCTTTCTTTCTAAAGACTGGTGCCATATGAGTTTTGTTCTGTCAGAATTGGACAAATCCTCCCCTCCCTTCCTCTACGTAAAAAAAAAAAAAAAAAAAAAAAAAAAA